GATCACAATGGGACTGACGGCGGCATACAGAGACGAGAAGAAGATCCTCAGATCCGAGATCAGCGAGGAGCCCAGCGTCTGAGGCACGGTCAGCGTATAAACCCACAGTCCGTTGTCCACCCCGTAAAACAGCAGGTAGAGCGTGACTAGAGTGACGACGGTGACGGCGGCGCGGCGTTCCGCAGACGGGCCCTGCCTCGCCCCGCCGCCCCGCAGACCCTTCACCTGCCGGCTGTGGCGGTACAGGAACGCCAGCAGGACCAGGCTGGCCGTCGCCATCAGGGCCATCGGCACCACGTCTCGTCCCACTTGTGCCGCGCCGTTGGCGTCCCGTGACAGTTTGGACGGGAAGCTCAGGAAGCAGAACTCGACGTTGATCCCGTTCTGCAGGAGTCTGGAGTCGTTCCGGGCCCCTATGGCGAACAGCAGCGGGGCGGCGCTCATGGAGGTGTTGATTAGCCATAGCGCCAGGAAGATGAAGGCCAGGTACTGCGCGAGCAGAGCACGGGCGGCGGCCCAACGCGAGCCCGGCGGAGCGACGCTCAGGCACTGATACGCACTCAGCAGGAACGTCAGCCAGATGGACAGAGATCTGGAGCTGCGGTAGACGAAGATGACCGCCTTGCAGCCGGTGTCGTCAAACACATTGTGGATCTCAAACGTGGCCAGGACCTCCAGCAGACAGCGAACGCACACCACCATTAGGTTGGCAGACGTCAGGTGCAGCACGATGGCATCAGCGGGCGAGAGGCGACCCTCGTGATACGCCACCGAGAGGAAGGCGCAGATGACGGCGGTGTTGCCTGGAACGCCGGTCACGACCAGAGACAGGAAGAGCAGGCCGCGCGTCATAGCATCCGAGTTCATCTCAACCGCTTCTGTTCTCCTGCAGCTTCTCTCGAAAGATTCCCCACCTCAGAATCAGCCTCCGATTTATAGTCTGGCTCGGGCCACTGGGATAATCCTGTCCAGCGACTTCAGACCTCAGCTCAATTATCTGAATGATGTGCAGTTGAGTGATTCTGTCACAGACGCAGCAGCGTAATGCAACACTCTCCTGTGAAAATACTCCAGTGAGTGTCAGTCTGTGCCCGAAGGACAGCGAGTGCTTGAGCTGAGACTCTCTCAGAACATGTAAAGTCTCAAATGTAAAGCCGTCTAAAGATTCGCCAGGGCCTGTAGACTCAACTGTGCTTTGGGTGACCCAGCTTTCCAACTTCGCTTCCTGTCAGTCTATACTGTTCTGTCTCAATAAAGACAAAATAAATCTCAAGAAAATACAAAGATCACAAAGTTAATGCATTAAAAACACATGCATAATGATAGGAGGAATTACCCTTCCTTCTCCCTCGAACAACTTCTATTTTCCTTTTATTGTTGTTGTTGCTTTGTTTGTACTCCCTGCTTCGTATATTATGTTAAAAACTAAATGCACGAATATTCATAATGGCAGTTTGTTCTTGTCTGCTTCATCTGTTCAATGAGCACTTGACTCGACCCTGTAAAAGTGTTGTTCACTATTGTCTCGCTGTCTCTCATTTCCATCTCTGCTCTTCCTCTGAGCAAATTTAGGACTTTGTATTGCAGCACTTCACATGTATTGTAAGTCATTCAGGTTAAAAACATCTTTTAAATCAATAAACGCAAACTGAATCTTAATGTTTGAACTTAATGATTGACTCAATGTGAAATCAGGGATGGGTTTGAGCTGCTGACTCTGTCATCCAATAAGTCATGACTCGTGAAATTGATGAATAAGAGCGTGCATCCAATGATAGCGCATGTTGACTCGAGGAAACCGCGTAGTTCAAGGATAAACACGGTTCTCATCTGTTGGCGTGTGCGTCTGGCCCGAGGGAATCGTGGGTCACTGATATCACGGTACATGAAGAACTCATTAATGCCACATCAGAAAACAGAAAACAGACCAGCCCGGGCCTGCCGGAAAGCATCCGCTCATCCCAGACCTCCTCATTACAGAGCGTGTTTGCAAAGATTTAATTAGCTAACACTCTTAATGTTTTCTAATTATCTCACGAGGGACACCATTAGTGGAAAATTACCCCGTTACACAACAGCTGCTCTCAAGAACAAAAAACTATAGATTTTTAATGCGTCACGAACCGTTTTAGTTGATTAAAAATGGAAACAAGTCGACCACATTTACCACTCATCAGAAATATAAGCGTGAACGAAATGAGAAACGCAAACACATGAAGTACAACATAATGGAGAAAAATATTCATTTGTGAAAAATTTCAGCAAAATCATCATCATCATCATCCACTGATGTCTTCTGTTTTCTCAGCTTGCCATTGACAGAAACACGAGCGCTTCTAGTCACGGAGTAATTAAGATGCACCTCAGGTGGACACTTTGGTCTCCTTTGTGTCTTCTTGTGGGTTTTCGGGTTCCTGGCGGCTCCCACGGGTGCATTACAGGCTTTATATTCAGCCATGGACTTCAGAAAGCCCTTCAAACTGAGCATTCGCGCTCGATCTCTAAATGGATCTATGCGTCACCATCAAAGGGGTCTCGTTCCTCCTGCAGGCGGGTCTGGGGATCCTGGCCAACGCTCTGGTCCTGCTGGCCTACGTCCACATCATGCTGACCGACGCTCAGCTGCAGCCCGTGGACTCGATCCTGTGCCACCTGGCCTTCGCCGACCTGCTGCTGCTCCTGACTCGCTGCGTCCCGCAGACCATGACCGTCTTCGGCATGAAGAACCTGCTGGACGACGCCGGCTGCAAGGCGGTCATCTACACCTACCGCATCGCCCGAGCGCTGTCCGTCTGCATCACCTGCATGCTGAGCGTCTTCCAGGCAGTGACCGTCGCGCCGGCGGCCGGGCCGCTCCTGTCGGGCTTGAAGATCCGGCTCCCGCGGCTGGTCGTCCCCACTTTCGCCGTGCTGTGGTTCGTCAACATGGCCGTCTGCATAGCTGCCCCGTTCTTCTCCGTCGCCCCTCGCAACGGCACCGTCCCGCCGTTCACCCTCAACCTGGGCTTCTGCCACGTGGACTTCCGGGATAACCTGTCCTACGTGATTAACGGGGTGGCCGTGTCGGTGCGCGACTTTGCGTTCGTGGGCGTGATGCTGGGCTCCAGCGGCTACATCCTGGTCCTCCTTCACCGGCACGGCAGGAAGGTGCGGGGCATCCGCCGCTCGCAGGGCGACACGATGGAAACGCGGGCGGCCAAGACGGTGGTGATGCTGGTGGTTCTGTACGTGGTGTTTTTCGGCATCGACAACGTCATCTGGATCTACATGCTGACGGTGCCTCAGGTGCCCCCGGTGGTGGCCGACATGAGGGTGTTTTTCTCCTCGTGCTACGCCTCGCTCAGCCCGTTCCTCATCATCTCGTCTAACAAGAAGGTCAAAGCGAGGATGGTGTGTGCGACCTCGTCGGACCAGGAGCGGCAAGCAGAGGATAGCAAGGACCCAAAAGCTGCCAAAAACTGATCTTAACAAAGTCTTAGATTTGTAGTTTTGTAATAGTGTCACAAATATTATAAAGATATTATATTATAATATCTTATAAAATCAGATATTATATATAATATAACATAGTATCAGATAGTATTAGGTCTGACTGTGTCTGTATTTGAGTGGCACCTAATAAACGAACTGCTGGAAAGAGAACTGCGAGGACTCTTATTTTGACGCGTCGGTTGGGGACTCTTATTTTGACGGGTTGTTGTTCCGTCGTCATCTTGGCTAGTTGTGTCTGGCTTCCGGCGCGCGCGCTGAACCGACCCTGAAAACTCGAGCCGAGTTAAACTGACGGTGAGCTCGCATTTAATGTGGTTTTCTCTTGATTAAGCTTTTGGAAAACGATCAACGACTGTTCTTAAACTTCTCTTGACCGAGAGAGTCAGTCGGGCTCTTTCGTGTTTGGGGTTTTAATGTCTTTAGCGAGAGTCGCTCTCTTCCGTTAGCCTGCTAGCTGCGCGTCATGAAAACATATTCAGACTTTTAGAAGCAGAGCGTGTTTGTGTACAAAACAAATAAAGCTCTGAGTGTCGTAATATTCACTGATTTCACTCTTCTGCTGTAAGCCTCTGCATTTAAACCTGAGAAGAGCTTAAAAGCGCATAGAAACAGCTTTACAAACATCATATGAAACTCTCAGGGAACGCAAGGCACTTATATTTTAGCATTTAAAGTTTTCTGTGAGAGTATTTTTAAAGTTTCTGCATTTAGCATTTTTAGGGCGTTGAATCTCATTCTTAACCCAGTGGAAATGAAGCCCGCTTCAAGGCTTTTCTGAAGTGTTTTGTATGTTCAAGCCACTTTTACACAAAAAATTATTACAATTCAGTGTTTTTTTTATGTTTTATAATCAGTGAACACTGTTAAACCCTTTTTATTCATCTTCTTTAATAGTTGATCTGCTCTTTACATTTTGTTATTTGAAGCTCTTATTGAATTCATGTGACTTTTTTATCAATTATCTGAATACATGAATCTCATGAAAACAAGAGCGGCATGTCATTTCATCCCAAATCTCTAAAAACGGCAATTTTGCATAATAATGATTATATTTAACATAATGAAAATGAAGCACTGTACTTTTAATTCATCTTTTTGATATTTGATTGGCAAATGTGCTTTATTTTCATAAAAATGTCAGGATGAAATAAATATTAATACTTTATTCTGTATCTCCATATATATGATATATTCACTACCGCTCAAGTGTGGGATCAGTAAGATCTGTAGTGTTTTATCTGCTCATCAAGACTGCATTTATTTATCAGAAATACAGAAAACACAGTAATATAGTGAAATATTATTACCATTTAAAATAACCGTGTTCTATTTTAATATACTGTAAACTGTAATTTATTTCTGTGATGCGCAGCTGTATTTCCAGCATCATTACTCCAGTCTTCAGTGTCACATGATCTTCAGAAATCATTATTCAATTATATAAAGTAATTTTGTAAGACTTTTTCAATTTAACTAAATTTTAATGATTCTGAATTAAAAAAAACACA